GACCGATTAAACACGAGCGAAATGTCCTCCCCGAAATGGTCGAAAGCTCGATGGGGCGCCAGGAGTCTCGGCGTTTAATAGACGATACCAGCTAACGTAGACACGATGCAAGATCATTTTTTATTATAAATTTGCGTTAATATCCTTTTTATTCTTCCTATGTATCTAACGTAATTATTCCAGCATAAATGACATTTACTTTGTGACACTTTGCTTGATTGTTCTGGTCATATATCACCGACAAGTTCCTATCACCGCCACTCCCCTTCCGCACATACCATCCAAAAAATCTCCTTACAGCGACTCGACGCCAAGCCACGTGAACAGCAGGCGTCGGGAACGAGAGTCGTGACTGAAGCCACTGCTCGACGTCGTCGCAGCGCGGAAGAAGTCATGGAATCGACTTCGTCCTTGCCACTCACGGCGAACCGATTACAAACTAGTCCCTTCGACGATGATAATAAATCATCGCTTATCCCATGGGCGGATCGCACTCTTACGTATGTACTCACGCAGCGCTGAAGTTCGAGGGAAAGAAAGCGGCAGTGGTTCTCGTTCGAGCGTTTCCCAAGCTGTTCCCCTAGTTTTTCTTTCCTCACTTTATTCTCTCTATTCAGATCAACTTCCAGAGTCCAATATCATTGGTCGACTGTGAATGTTCTGTCGATTTTGAGTAATACAACATTAACACACCTGTAATTATTATAATATTCGTATATATTGCCTATTCATCCTGCATCCATTCTGTAATTCGGAAAGTCCTGTCGAATATTTCGCGAGAACGGAGAAGGTCAACAGAACCGACAGAACTTTTACACTCACCCAAATACCACATCGTGTGTCATCGGTCGCGTCGAGACCGATCGTCGACGACGTGGACTCTGTCGAGCAACGTTCGTGTCCAGACCTCGTGTATATATCAGTACGGTATGTGTGTTCGTGCGTGTGTAGACTCGATGATATTTATTACGGTTTTCGATGTAACAAAATGAAAAACCGTTGAACGGAAAACGGGTTTTAATGCAGTTCGAAATTGGTTACGCTGGCGTTAGCGAAGCGACGATTGGCAGTTACACTGTTCGGCAAAACTCGATTCGACGATTACGATGACAAATGGATGAGGTTCGAAAGGAACGGTCCGTTGTTTTTTTTTTTTTCTTTCTTTCGTTTTGGGCGCCTAGTTAATGTGTTTACCTCGCGGTGTAAGGTGATCGATTCGACTGCCCTACAGTCTCTACACATACAGATCCCCTATGACATTTACGAATTATCCGTAGTATTAAATTGTAAAACGTGGCTACGCGTTTATTCATTACTGATTAGTCGATCTACGGAAGGTATCTACTAACGCTAGGGAGAGAGCTTTATCATCGACAACCCGGTCGTCGTCGAATTACACTGGTATTTTACGTTCGACGACCGTGAAGGAAAAAGTATATCCTTACGCGAATCAAGTCGTGTAGTTCCCCGTGAAATATTTCGTTCGTTGGCGGGGGGGCGCAGGCCGTTGAAGGGCTCCCCCACCCCTACGATTTCTCGTTTTATCCTTTGTCCGCGGAAAGCTGCGTTTTTCCTCGACGCTAATGGAATTCAGCAAAAGTGCGCGCGTTAGGGGACCCTTGACTACAACGTGGCCGCTATCGATCGCGATTGCTCCGCCGTGAGTTCTCCTCGTTGCACGCCACACCGTGCATGTCATTTTTCCACTTTTTTCTCTTCCGTCCACTGAAAGAAGGAGTTCTCTCTTCTCGTGTTTACTTTACACACACGATTAAATGTCCGACAAACTCCAATAAACTAAACGAAAATCAAATTCATTTAAATCCCCGTTACTGCCGAGTTTTAACTATTCAATCGAATTCAGTTCAAAGGCTGCAGAAAACCTCCAAAACGACATAGCGGAGCCGGTTTTTAGACTTTTTGTATAATCGTTTTTCGTGGGAAAATCTTTTTATTGTCTCAAGTGCAAATAAAGAATAGGAAATCACGGAAAGTTTTTGGTATATACGGTAATAGTTTCGAAAGCTGAGTTGAATCAATCAGAAATATTGTATGAAACGGAAGGGATGACTATAGATCGGGAATCTGAAATGTTCTCCAGAAATAGAAGCCTTTTGATGCGTTGCACAAAGGAACGGAAGTACGCGTCATCCATCAATGTAATCACGCAGAAATCGATCCAAATGTGGTATTCGAGGAACGTCGCAGCGACAAGTGTCCCCTCTGGTGGTGAAAGACCAGGGATACAGAGTACCTAGTACCCTAAAATTTCGTCAGGAACTGATCCGTTCGGCTCAAATCGGAATTCCAAAAATTCTGTACCACGTAGAAGATGAATTCAACATTGGAACGTAATTTTAGTGAAATAAACTGTGCTTATTTCGTATCAACATAATAAGAAAAAACATTAAAAACTGTCTATAAATATGTAGATTAAAAAATTATGATTTCTTTTACTTTTATTAAAACGTTAATTGTAGTGGAGTCGATTAATTAGCTTCCTTTCGCTGGCACAGGAACGGTAAAAACCATAATCGAATTAAAAGAAGGCATAGTTAGTTCCATCGCAATTACGAGTGAAAAGAAAATAATATCGCAGTCGTTAATGTAAGAATGATATATTTATTTATATACAAAACCTTGTCAGTTAACAAAATGCATAAGTGTGCGCGAAATGAATAATACACCAGAACGGAAGTAATCACAAAGATAGAGATATAGAGAAAGATACGTACGGTAACTGAAATAAATTTCCTGTCATGCTCGCAATTATCCTGGAAATAATTCTACAAGTATAACTCTATTTCGTCTTGAATTTGATATATTGAAGCGTTACGGTAAACCTCGAAACATTCGGCGTCCGATCAAGTCAATCTTCGAGTAACTTGCACGGGCGCCCGAAAAAGAACGCATCGTTTTCCAAACATTTTACGTGATCGAGAATTTTCAGATTTCAATGGAACGAATTTATCGGAATCAGACCTGACCGGTAAATACCCGAGAACGATCGGGTATATGTCCCGTCCGCAGCCCCGTCAAGAGACGCATCAAGAAATCGCACGCCTCGCGGCATTATGAACGCGCGCGCGTGCGCACGTGTTGTAAAGAAGCGAAAGAGAGTTGTCAACGTGGCAATTAAATCTATACAATTAAATAAAAAATAAATAATCGCACGCCCGCCCGCCCGCGTTGGCGGGCAGAGCTCGGGCAACATTACACTTAAGAAACTGTACAGAATATTACAAAGGACCGGCGGCGGTGTGTAGCGCGCGCACACAAAAACGTTGGTCGAGTGACACATCGAGACTGAGTACGGTGCGTGTTCAGCGAAACAAGACGAACCACAGATCTATGGTTCGACGTGGTCTCGCGTGCGAATCGACCAACGTTTATTTGTGGTCTCGGTTTTTCAAAAACGCATCTATTCGTAACTCTAATAGTAACAGAATATACAGTGTTCGCCGGGGGCAAGGCGAAACCCGTCGACATCGGGTTTTTATCGAGAAGCAAATCGGAACGAACGGTAGCCGGTGAGGCTATTCTCATCGAAAGAACGACGCGACAGTTCGCCTGGTCCCCGGACAGCGAAATAAAACAGCCAACAATATAAATTCTTTCGAGTCCAGAATCTCCAAAATATAATAATTCCACTCGATCGACAGGATACCGTCTCAATTTTCATTCCCCGTGGATATCTTTCGTTCGAGATCGTTTACTGCTAAAAAGAATAAAAAAAAAAAAAAAAAAAAAAAAAATAAAAAAAGAGGCCAACTATCCCCGTAATGCTTCGCGCGAGCTGCGGTACCACGGGCTGTGGTTATTATCGTATGAACGATGGCGAACGAGTATCGAAACCGCGACCCGTCGCTCGCCTAAAATGGACTAGAAACTTGTCTTTTCTTGTGCCTTTCGATCTCCGGATGGAACGCGGATGCTCGACGTTAGAGAACACAAGGTACGATTAACTAAAGGGTTTCAATGTAAGCATATGTAAGTTCATACATACAGATATCGTCGCCTGGGTGGTTCCATATTATATTTCGCGCGATATAATATGCGTCGTCTTGGATATGTATAGACGGAAGATAGTAACGAAACGATGGGAGCAATTCGCAGCTAGTATCGACGCGTTGTGTCCTCTAGAACGACGTTGTCACGTCGCGATTGTTATTATTCTTCGACAAAATAGTACATGGTGTTACCCTAGTTAATCCCATAGAAGCTGAATGAAAAGAGTACGTTACAATTTGAGCAAGGCGTCGATACGGATGAACGAACCGCTCGCTAGTACATCGACAGCGGACATCTATACGATAAATCGTTGCACACAGTTGCATTCGTCTTTACAAGACAAATTAGACCGATCCGAGAGACTACTCCCCCCACCCTCCAGAAAAACTTCAGTTCGTTCGGAACCGAAAGATATCCAACGACCATCCTGTGCGAGCACACGAGATACGTCATAACAATAGTGCACGAGCAGAGATCGCGAAAAAGGGAGGTGTCCGATCGTTGAACGAGGACAGCGTGGATATCCCCGGGACTTCACCGATGGACGTTCGTCATGGGAAAATATATATGTATATATGTATATTGGCAATTTGTTAACCGTACCGATAGAGTATAATTTCTGTTCCGTTCGCACGTAGGTTCGTTCGAAGCCATCAAAAATATGTCCAGTTTTCCCCGAGGGTATGCGGCGTTCCATCGTCGTAACGGGAACACGCATGGTGTTTAAAAATTGCACGGATCTCTTTAATAAACGAGGATACAAGAGGGGACCCGTCCACCTTGTCCTTGCTCAACGGGCGCAATGACCGCGACAACAGTTTTACTTAGCCTAAGTGACGCGTCAACAGTGTGTAACTCCGTGACACGTACTTACATGCATCGTCTCCTCCCTGATCCAGCGCGATCAACAAGAGGATAAAACGGCCATCCTAGATAAACAGAATCGATCGACCGGTCGGCCGATCAGCGTCGAGACGACGGACCAGCGTTCACCTGAACGCCGCGCCGACAACCATCGTCACCGCGGTGAGGATCAGAGCCAACGATACCGATCTGGCGGAGGAACTTCCGGCGGTTGGCCCGTCACTGCTGCGGGACACCTTGCTGCGGACCAATTGGCCACGTTCGACGGCGTTCGTCTCGTCGCTGTCGGGATCCACAGGCGCCCCGATGTCGCCGTCCTCGCTGAGCAACAACGACAGCTTGTTCCTCAGCGGTTTCTTCGAGCAGGGCTGGCTCGCCTCCTCGTACGGCCTGAGAATCCTCGGATAATGGACCTCCAGCTTGTCGGTACCAGGCAACGGACCCTTGCTGGTGGAACAGAGCGGCTTGAAGGTGCCACCACGTGTAGCTTCTTGGAAGTTCTGGAAGTTGTTCTCCCAGTCGTAGCTCACCAGACGATCCTCCAGCGTCATTCCGGCCAGCTCTGGCGGTTCTTGAATCCGGACCGGGGTGGAATTTCTGTAAACGAGAAGAACGGGGCCGTGAAGCATTTCTTTTTTTGGTCTTTCGTCTACGCTTTCGTGTCACGTCACAATGAAACACTTCGGAGGGTGGATCAGTGTTTGCTTCTGTACGGTGCACGGTAAAAGATTTTTCGTATTCTTCTGGGTGGAAGGATGTTTGTAGTTGCATCTTACCTAGTGTAATAGGTAACTGAGCAATTGCACGTGGCATATGACGAGAGGTTATAAGGTGGGACAATGAAGTTTTGGGAATAGTTATGTTTCCATCGAAGTGGTAGTAATTTAAACAGATACGTCCCCCAGCTGTGTAGACTGACCCAGTATCTAGGAGCGTGCGAAGAGGGAAGCATTGGGATTCGTTTTAGTTATTGTGCAAATTACGTTAAACATAAAACGCTGACAATGCTCCCCGTACATTCGGTCATTCCAGTAAAAATGTATGTAAATTCAATAGCGATCATAACGTTGAAACTCCCCCCGTGTTCGTCTGATTTGTTTCCTCGTGACATTTTCTTTTTAAAGGAATGCATTTTCAGTCAGTCGCTGAAATTCAAAGTAATTTAACGTGGGTATTAAAACAGATACCAGAAAATGAGTACCAAAAATATCCCGATCAATGGATCCCACGCTGGTATTCGTGTGCGCAAGCTTAAGAGAACTATGAACTTTGAAGCGACAGCCTAGCGTCTGTTTAATTTTCAAAATGAAATTTTTAGACGAATTATTCTCGAAACTTCATTATCACAACCTCGTGTTATATAGCAAAACTCCTTAGTAAACAGAAACGAAAGAACAACGTGCAATCGAACCATTCCGGTAATTATATTATAGGCTGGATCGTTCAGGTATTTATTCATAATTCACAGAACGACTGCGCTGGGATGATATTATTAGCATCTAACCGAATAACAATGGTCTGGCCGCGTACCAGTTTCTGCGTTCGTTGGAATCTATCTCTCGTGCCGATGTCACGCAAAGATGACACAATGGTCTCGGTCGGAGTTAACGACCCAACTAGCAACGACCTGCCGATATTAGCGACGGTAATAACAGTAATTTAGTCCCGGGTAGTCGATGCGGCGGAGAGTGTGTTTAGCGAAACAGGACGCTTGTTACATTAAAGTTCGTGACACGTCCCAGGAAGCGTCTTCGTGACACACGTAACATTACGTAATGCAATGAACGATGCGTCTGGCGCAATGTAACCGGGTGCTCGGTTCAACTAACAGCAGGTCGTGCGGTCGTGACGCGCGGGGCATCGAACGTCCCTAATTGCCAATTTAAAGTAATCAGAGTAAAAGGAGCGAACGTCTGCTCGCCACGGACTGTATAGAATCGAGGGGGGAGAGGGAGGGTTGGTTGTTCATCATTAGCACGGTATCAACTGCCCCGTGTAAATTAATATCAAACGGACTTTTGAACCCCGAATCAAAGTGAAACGCGACACGTACGAGTGTCGAAAAATAGCCCCGATTAATTCGGTGAAACGGGGGACGGGCGACGCACGTGCGTTGATAATACAAAACGGGACGAATTGTGTCCAGGAATACTCACTTCGCCAGCATCTGGATCCCCAAACTGTGCAGAACTGTCGGTAACGAGGGCAGCGAGTAACAAAGCGATAGTTCGATGCGCGGATAATAAAGAGTGGACACCAGGCACGTCTCCTCTCGCGTCGCCAGACCGCCCAGCGTGATCGCTTGTCTGGATTCGGACGAGTACGTGCACTCGGCCACTAGATGATCGCCCTGGAACAAGAAAAGACAAACGCTTGCGATTAGTACGTTACGTTTTAAACACGAAAATAGGACCATTTTGAGAATTGAGTTTTATAACTGATTCTTCTGTACGGATTGAAGAAAAACCGAGATTTATCGAAATGGAAGATTGACGGAAATTTTTAATGATTCTATTGTTTCTGTATCGCAATAAGTAAAATAATGATCGCGATTTTCCACTGATCGTGGATGCATTAATATCGTGAAGTTCGTTGGAAGATGTGAATGAGGATGATGATATATGACTTTGAGTAATTTAACTCAACTTGGTAACAGATTTAAACTTTAGTAATTGTAACAAATGTGATGTATGTGTTTACTAGTTTTGTTTACTTTGAATGATCGATGTGTTCTCTTCGACTGTTGAATTTGTCCCTTCGGTATCCTAATTAAAACCTCCGAAATTCGTCTTATTACATAATAACGTTAGCACGCATAACAGAGGAATTGTAGAAAAAACCCAACGTTAAAAATAAAAATGTTTGTTTCTTTTCCGTTTTTATATAGAAAATCGAGCAAGAGATTACCAGGAAATATGTAGATCAAGTAGATTAAAAAAATACAAGTACTATTCTCGTATCTCCATTCAACAGTCACCCAAATCTCGGAATACAATCTTTCTCGGATCGAGACGTTTGTTCTCAAACCAAGAATTCTATTCACGAAACATTTTTCATTCGGAACACTTATTAGACCCGTGAGAACCAGTTCAGAAGCAGGGGAACAACACCGTTCAGTTTCCGTCTGATCACTTTCGCGGTTGCGATTTCAAAGACTGTACACACCACCTAATGCAGTCCCGTGTTCATTAAGAAGATTTAAAACGACGCTCGATTTCCCCTTTAATCTCTGGCCGACCGGTAAACGCGTGCAAATGAATTCCTTATCGCGTCGTCGGTTTCGCCGGTCGGGCCCGTCATTAAATTACCATCTAATGAAATACAGAGCCACGACGCGACGTGGCTTCGTAGTCACACATAGACAAATACATATACACACCACAAGGGGCATCCCACTCACCGGATAGATACGGACGGGCTTCTGGAGCTTCCGATACTCCTGATAGCTAGGATTGTAATTGGTGTCAGACGCAATGGGTGGCAGTTCCTCTCCGGACCTTATCTGACGCAATCGGACCTTCCTGCCGAGTTGATGGGTATGCATGATGACGGCGAATATGTTGATGCCGTTGTTCGGTATGGTCTGACCGGTACAGTCCGAGATGCAATGACCTTCGGAGACCACCTCGGGCTGGCCGGGTGGTATGATGTGCCGCCAGTTCGGGTCGATCCCGACGCTGAGAATACCGGCGTCGTGGGTGCGCAGCCGGTCCGTGTAATGCAAACGGAGTCCGGAGCTGTCGCTGATGAACGCGTCCATCTGCGGATTTGTGTAATGCGTTTCCAGCATATAGTAACGCGGCCCGTTGTACGGGTCCAGCGGGTAACCGGCCTCCAGCGGATAATTGAAGCCCTGGAAAACAAACGGGAGAAAATAAAGTTACGCGAGCGCACGGATGAGTACACCTGGGCCAGGATAATTGAATCGCTCGACAGGAACGTTTGGCGATTATCACTTGGAAATTTTAGGCAAACCAGTCGGACGAAAGGAGGATTTTTTTTTAGTGAACACCATACTTGATCGTCGAGGCGTGTTTTCAGTTTTGATCAGATGGGATCTTGATTAGCGTAGGACCTGCAGTAAAATAATGCGAATATGTGGAGTATTGTAATTTATATAGGAATGACAGTTTAAATGTTTTTGGACTATGATAGCAAAGAGTTGTTCGTAAGTACAGTAAAAAGGTGATTGAATTTATAAAAAGATGCTTATGAAATAAATTGTTCAGATAATATTTTGTTTTGGAAATGATTCGTACTAGAAGATATTGTTCAAGAGAAAATATAAACTGATAAGTGGTTTCCTTTTTAAAGTAGCTTTGATATAAGATTGGCTCTCCTAATTCACAATTTATTTAATATTCAGGGAGGTGAAGTATTGGGTATATATTTTAGTACAGCTGTAATACATGTAATTATTACGTTTCTAATATTTTAAATTCGATTGTTGAAGTTTAAAAAAAGCCAAACGAAACATAACTTTACAACTTCAGTGGGATAGGTAGAAGAGAATTTAACATGGCCTACTTTCGAGTCGAGATCTTTCATTTGATAAACGACTCTTCCAATTGAGCTATTCAGGGCGGTAAGCGATTCTCTCCAAACCTATGGTTAAAACGGTTGCAGCTCGCGCTGTGATCTTATATGCACAAACGACTGCATTCTAAAATAGAGACGTTATTTCGGTAAATTCTGTGTGGCATGTGCATTGTCAATGCGATTACATTTCATGAAAACCTATTAACCGCTGAGTGACATAGCAGGAACACGCGAAGCAAGAAACACTTAACACGATCAATGCGAATGAATTATTATAATTCCAACCTGAGTGACGTAAATTTTTTAACTCATTAACAGTCGAATATAATTACTACTTGTGGTAGAACAAACGTATATTTTAATACATAATAATAATAATTTAATACATGATATATATTTATTTACTTCTATTCATGATAAAAATGTAGAAAAAAACATGTGTTACACGTTCCTCTTTAATAATTACGTCGTGTATGATAAATGCGACGTGCCCGAGTATTACTCGGGATAAACTGTCAACAGGTTAAATTAAAACAACCACAAATTGACTATCTAATGCTTAAATTATCAATTTATTTAAAAGTATTTAAAGGAAACGATATAGATACATTTATCGAGTTCGTCATCGGAAAAATGTGAATTAAAAAGACCTCGATATAGAAAGGAAATTTATTTTATTTGATCGAATATAATATCGTCGCTTAACACGTTCAGTGCGAGGTCGATATATGTATAATATTGTATATCGATCTCGTACTGAACGTGTTAAGCCACGATATACACGTATGAAATAAAATAAATTTCCTTTCTCCCGTCAAATTATTAACAAGCAATACTTATAAAACAAATATTTCGATTATCAACCAGCTAAACGGTTAAGCTACTACTGAGCCGTCACTGAAATATGTATGTATAATAAATCGCGACCACCCACGAGCCACCGCGAAACATTTAATAGTTGCCGGGAAATTACTGAAAAATTCTCGTCGTCTCGGTTGCAAAGTGGATCGTTACGAGGATCATGTACGATCTACTAATCCCTTAAAATATTATAATCGTCGAGACCCGGTAATTGACGTCGCAAATCATGTTACAGATACGATCGAGATCCCGGAATCAGTTACGTGAGTAATTACACGTGGATAAATCACTGTCCTGCGAAATGTTAATCCGACGTCGTCATGGGGCCGAGAGCGTAAGAGACACTGGGAACGCGTCTGTGTTGTATCGCGGTAATTCTGGGTTTTGTGTAATGCATACCAATGGGAGAGCGACGGGGCCGCAACCGCAAACTCGTTTCTTCGCGTTCGAAACACGACCTGCCTGCGAAGACGGGTACAATATCGCCAGGGTCCCCCCTGAGTTCGGTAATTTCACACGCGGCGTTACACCTGGACGATTTAATTACTCGAAAAACGGGTTCTCCCGTAATCCGATAAAAATTAAACGGAAAATTTTCGATGTTCCAGGGACGGACAAGTAATTGAAATCTGAAACTGTTACATCGTCGGCACGAAAATTATGTTTCCCCAACGAATACGTGTCGGCTGCGATTCGATTAATTTCAATTAATTTACACCACGATCTCTAACTTCGAAATCGTGACGAAATTCGATGTCACGGTTCTCTGCCTCGATCGAAGGTCTATGATTCTATAATTATATTATTATATTCTTGAATTCCAACGTTTTATATACGAACGTAACGTACCTCAGAGCCGAGACTCCAAACAGCGGCGATTGTGTTGCACTGATAAGAGGCGTGATAGCACTTGTTGCTGCCGGACGTCTTCGCGACGGCCTCCAGCTCCGCTTGGTCCCCACGACACTCGTACAGAGTCATGTGATGCAGGTAGTCGTTACTTCCGGGTTGTATCACCGGTTCGTACTAAAAAGAAGAAATGTACGTAATGTATGTGTAGTTAGATTCGTCGATTGTCGGATACGGGCGAAGGGTACGCGGTTCGTTTGATTTCTAAAGAAGTTAATTTAATCCACGCGCATCGAAGTAATGTACATACATCGGTCACGTCGGCGAGGAATTCTTAACCGGTGAAACGGCTATGAGGATGGATAAATTTCGAATAGTCGAGGTTATCGGAATCTCGAAGCTAATCCTCCCCACTTCTCGAGGATTCACCGCGATAGAGTGCAATGCAATCGCGTCACGTAACCGTGGCCCACGTTCTATTGACTTCGAGATGCTGTTCGCTCGACGGTGGATAGATACCAAACTGTGCCGCATCTACAGCTAGTTTCGGTAGCGTAAAAAGGTATTGTAAGAGCTTTCATTTGCGATCGAAGGCTATGAATTGGAAAGGTGGATTTATGTATTCTATCTAGGGTAAATGTAATAGGGCTACTGCCACTTTATTTATTTTATCTAATAACAACGTAGTTGCAATTATTATCGAAAGTTGTATTATTAAACTGGAATTCTGATTTACAAAAAACCACAAAAATGCATGTACGTGGTATTTAACACGTTGAGTGCCAGCTACGAGATAACTCGTCGTTGAAACATTTCAAACATGCTGGATTATTTAAATACCTCTACAAAATTTTGACATACGATTAATATCACAGTATAATTTAAAACAGGACAAGCAATCTCTATTAATCAAACGCATATATTTTTAAAGGCTTATGACTTAAAAAACGACATAAAGTGTGTCTGGCTACATACGGCCTTTTTCACTGTGACAGTGAACGTGTTAAAAATTAACGTTGAAAACTCAAAGTGCAATTTGAGCGCCAAAAACGTGACTATGTAAACTGGTAGCAGAACAGAGAGTGATTCTACGTGAAAAAATACGTCGAAAATATGAAATAAAATGTTTTCATTCATGACATCGTTTTCGAGAAAATCTACTTTGAAAATGAATCTTCAACGCGTGTATACATTCGTCATGGTAGTAAGTAGAAATGGAATGCAATGAACAGACCCGCTAGCCAAGTTATATTAAATAGACACGATAAAGCCTTCCAGATTAGCCAATAAGGTGCCTTTCCGAAGATCCTCCATATTGCATTGTCAACCAACAGGACAACTTCATTAAGAACAGCTAAGTTTAAAATATAAAGTAACGCCCGCGACAGAAGACCACAGACTTCTATATTAATACAGAAAGCCTGTGTTTACACCACGTTTGCACAGTGCATCCAAATTGTTTTCTAAGCGGCCATATGTTAATATGGCGAAAAGTTATAAGGCGCAGTAGAAAACGAAAATGAGTCTGCTGGGCAAGCACACATTATATCCTTGCATCGTGTCATTGACGAGTAACCGAACAGATGAAAGTTAGTACCGCGAACGTGTAATCAATCACGCGAATAGCCTACTTCAAACTTTATCAACGAGGTTCACGACATTCGCCGACGAGGCGATCTATTACCAACGCGAAAACGATTCGATCGCGAGCTTTACGATCGACTGTTAAGTAGAAATAGAAATCTGTTCACCTCACGGCTAAAACGGTAAACTAGTCCGACGATTTGGTTCCACCAGCGATCGAAGGGAAACGTATCGACGGCTCACGATTGATCATCTATACCGTAAACTTTACAAATCGAGGCATCCCGAAAGCGCGTAAAAATAACCCTATGTCCAATTAAAGAAGAGTTTCCACGGGGATATCGTAAAAATCAACAGTTCGCGACGTCTACTCGACCTTTTACCGGTAATCGAGGGGCCCCGAGTGTGGCTAAGCGTAAAACGAGTCGAAGGAACGATTGTTCCGCTACCAGGGGATCCGAACTCGCGGAGGGTTCTCCACTTCGAGGAAGGTGAGAGATCCACGGGAGCTTTCGAGTGCTCCCCCGTCGACGGGAATCTGTATCTACATTCCTGGTTTAATCAACTCTCGATGGGGCTGGATGCGTAAGACGCGACGCGAGGGAACGGCGAGTCACTGGGTTATAGATAGCTAGGGGGAACATCTTACCTTCACAACGTGGTGTTTGCGATCGATGTTTGGCATCCTGAGAACGCGGCACCAATGCAGCGTGTCGAGCGCCATGGGTAATCGAATCTGTAATATAAATCGAAATTGATTAAGTGAAATGAATCTAATTTTTACTACGGTTTGAATTCGGAAAAATTTCGTCTGAACTTGGCACCGATTCGTTTCATCGTGTATCGTTCGACAGTTTAGAGCCAACTGTATCGACTCTCGTGAGATTAATTTTTGATACGATATGGTACGTATAAACACCTAGATTCAAGTTGCATTAAAGAGTATTTGTCGAATTGGACAATCCCGTAATCATTCAGTATTTCAACGGATAGTATAAACGAACCTTTATACGTACATTATCGCTCATAAATATTAGCACACCTGGTCTGTATGAAGAACATGTGATGTTTTGTAAAATTTATATATTTTAGTCCACCCTTATCACTTCAGACTAACATAAGCATTGTTGATCGAAGCATTAATACCCCCAACAATATTTATATCAGATTTTCAATAATTTCTTAATGCCTTGCAGCATTTACTGCATATTCGATAAATGTCTTAGCTCATCAATAAGAAGCTACAGAACAGTAACAGAAACAGAACAGAAATATCAATAGCCACGAAGTGGTGGAAGGTCCTTAAATCCCAGAGGGCTCGTGTTACACGTCATCGCAGCAGATCGTTATCAGACAGTTCATTGAAATTCAGTAATTCTGTGTCTGTGGATATACACGAGAGCATCTGTTTCAGTGCTTGTAACCATGAATTTTCGCTTCCCGTTTACAGCCCGGGCCTCTTTGATACACTTCCATATCTATACTCGCGACTGATCTTCCTGTATACCCGTATGAATCACAGTCGCAGAGAGATTGCTTTCCTCCCCTATATCCCCTCCCCCACATATACTCGGCCGCCGAAACACGGAGATGAAACGAATCAGAACCCGGATAAGGGCGAGCAGGCGAATGCTGTCGGCCGTGCACGCCCGCGGAATTTCGTTAATGCTTTCTCAAAACTTCCTCGGATGGTGGAGAGGGCCAGTCTGCCTGTACAATGCGACTGGAAACTCGTCCGACGCTCTACACGAAACTGGTTGAACGGCGAATCTGTCTATACCCTCACCCGTTAATGGAGTAACGTGGTATTTAGTCCAGATACACGCTGGCCCGTTCCCCGGAATTACGAACTGTTTTTCTAATTGCAACTGTCTTCGGCCGAGTTCCCCCTCCACCCTGTATCCCGGACATTTCGCGTGACGAAGTTAATTCGGAATACGATTTTCGAGAGCGGGGACACATCGTATGTCTCGAACGAGCGGAACTACTCCATGCTTTTGAAAATTACAGGCGGGGCTGGGATCGAAACTTCTATTCGTGTTTTCTCCTGCTATACGAAGCGAGGTGGGTGTGTGGATTATTCATCGTAAGCAGGAATCTATAGTCGACCGGAGAATTTTTAATTTATTTAGAGGGTGTCTATTATTAGTGGAAACTTATCGAGAACCATTGTCCTGGTGTAAGTTTTCTTATTAATGAAAACGTGCCAGAGTCTTGAAGCTCATAATGGTTTAATTATATTTATTCTAGATAGAATTATTCTTTAATTTCGTCGAAGTGCTTTTAATGTAACATTATTGAAATTTTGTTCTGAAAGAAACGATGTAACTTCCTTTCACTCGGAGTAAAAAATACTGGAAATATTGACACTTCCGGGTAATTATGGACTACTTAAGATAACGTCGATATCATAGACGTCAATACACCATCATTTATCGAATAAGAACGGAACGATCAAGTCGCAACGAGATTGAGTTAATACGACGTGTGAAATGTTGCTCGGCAACGTCTAATAGCAAATTAGAGAAGTAACGTTATGTACCTCGCCCTGTCCTGAATGCACAAACGCCGTGTACACCTCGTTACATTATATATGATCCTGTTCCAAGTTTTCCGACACGTCTAATAGAATAAGGACCGAGCGTACCGTCGAGCGAGTTGCTCATCCTGTGATACCTGTTCCACTTATTTCTTGTTGCCATTTCTCAACCACATCGTACTCGTGTTACATGTGGTGTTTTAGATGCAGTCTATCGTCTTACTTATTCCACGGAGACATCTCTCAGAATTGCCAGAGCACATGATTGCGCAAACTGGTTCGAACAAGACAATTTATTACCTCAAACATCCGGAGGCGGTCTTGGAAAAATGCAATCACATGTGGACTATTTTTTTAACATTCTGAGTACATATCGCACCTCATTGAAAACTAGTCGAAGTTTGTGAAGCAAAAATACTCTAATTCTAAAATATGTAAAATATGTTCAATTGCTTTCATAGGGTAATTCGAATGAGTGTTCGAATGCTTCTCAGCACTGTTAAGGAGAGATTTTTAACGCTGTCTTTTAATAAGGTATAGCACGATGATAGCACTTGGAATTCTAACGCCAATGACACGTTTTTAGTTACATACAGCCATTAGTTTATAAATATTTAATATTCAGTACCGAGGAGCATTGAAACGCTCACCGAGGATTTACTGTAGGTATACAGAATTACAATGCATGTGAATGGTCAACGAACGATTGTTTCTTATCAATCTAATATCGAGCAATAAACTCCACGTGATGTTACGTAACCCCTGCTTCAAATTATTCCCGTGTTAGTCGTCGAAGGTCCGATAAGATGAAACCTCATGCGTTATTGTCCCCGATGACGCCAGTGTCCGTACCCTCAAGAGTTAATTTCTGGGAAACTGTGTCAACTCGATCGATGGAAAATAGACCGCCGTACAATCCTGGCGCGTTCGAGAGAACGTCTTTGCTAAAATGAAAGGCGAAGGGAGGTCCTTTTGAAACGTATAACCTACATTTCCCATGTTTCATCAAAGGAATGAACGTCGCCTCGAAAGTATCTCTTCCGGTAATAACGAGTATTTTCACGATCAAATAAGGGTGCTCCTTCAACCCGTCCATCGATCCTTCCATCGTATTTATTTTAACGTTGAAAAAGATCCTGTCGATATCGAAGGGGGAGGAAAAAAAAAAGAAACACGAAGACCGAAGGGGGAGAGGGGTGGAACGTGAGAGGCACCGATTGGTTGCAGCCGCGGGGGGTTTTGCGCGCGACCGAAGAGTTCCGAGCGAAATTGCAATTCTTTTCTCGCGGGGGCCCCGGTCTTCCTCGGGCCGCGTTGAGATGCTCGGAACCACGCCGCCGCCGGATTCTCCCACGCGCTTCTGCGAAATTATCGATGTCAAGATTACCGAGAAGGACGACCGGTGCGCGCGTTTTATTGTTTCGCGGTCGAATATGCCGAACGCCCACGGGCTACTGCCGGAGATTTAGGCTCAGCGAGCTCTGTGTTTACGATTGTGTGCCCTGGCTTCTGAGCTCGGGCCCCCGTGGTACCAGCGACGTTCCATCACGCGATCTAACACCTTCGCGATGCAAAGTCTTCGGAGATGAATCTCGTAACCGCCGTCCCGGTGTCAACGATAGCGAACTTTGTCGTGAAAATGAAATTTCGTGGTCTGCTGTGAACAACACAATTGCAGTGAACTCACTCGATTCCGGGTGTGTTCTTCTTAATTGTTGATTTCCGAGAAATACCCAAGACGGGTTTCAGAATGAGGTATTAAAACCGCGGGTGCACATACCGGGGCGTATCTCCGATCTCGCGACGACGTTTGACGTATCGAACGACACGCGCGAAAAAAACTGATATTTATCTTTCTCGAGAGAGAACCGGGGAGCCAGGTAAGATGGATGATACCACGGAGACGTGATCGGTAAGAGTCGCAGTTCGTTCGGGGATCAGTGTCGACCTAGATAAAACGTTTTCTGACGTCCAATCTATGTTATTTTATTGTCGTTAATTCATGGGAACACGATGGAATTAAACGAGAATGACGTTAAATAGTGGCAGCGAAGCTTGAATAAGCTGGGACGCATGGTATAAATGAACGGGAATTAAATATGTAGATGAGGGTGGACCCCGGCAAGAGCGGTCTGTTTGTTTTCGTGAATTCAGCGGGAGCAAACGTCATCGTGCGAGGGATTCATGGATGCGGCTCACCCTTGGCCGCTTTTTTCCAACGACGCGTCTCGTTTCTTGGAACGAGAGGAGACGATAATTATCCTCCGGGTATGCCGCGTTTCGCGTGCTATGCGTTCAAATGGCTGGCTTCTTTTGAAACCGCGGGGCCACATAAAAACGCGTTTTATGCTGCTTGCTCGACTGGCTCGCTCGTGTAGGCCACTTCAGATTTCGCTCTTTCCTGTTTCTCAGCGCACGGCGCCAACTTTTTACCCACGCCTTTTACTCGTGTAAATAGCTAATATCGCGCCAGTATATCCCCCCCCCCCCCCCACTCTGTGATGCAAGAAGGATGATCGTCGATCATCGAAAATGTATAATATAATTTCGATTTGTATCTTTGTTTCATCGAATATTTCGGTGTAATTAATGATGAAGAATTTTAGGCAGTCTTGTTCTTTCTGTACAACATACGGCTGTTCGTATCGTAATACGTAGGATTTCATTACAATTTCCATTCTATGTATGTATTTCGTACCGCCACAATTTTCACTCAATGCGTGCATATTTTTGATTAAAATGGTTCATTTATCGAAAACAAGGGATGCTCGAAATTTCTGTCTGCATACAGAGATCACAATTAATTATAACGAAATTTCGGTAAATATCTTGACAGTTCAAATGGAGTATCTACAATGTAGTAAACGTGTTTAGCCATTTATACAAAACGAATATTATCGTGAACGTGAATATTTGCAAACGATTTATTTATATTCATGAGTGTTTCGATTAATCCATTTTAACCGTCGTGCATTGTTCGAGTCAATTTAACCCAAACTCTAACTTCAACTTTTAATTATATTCTTCATCCATTACTTTATATATACATGTGTTATATGAGTATATTTCCTTAAATCGATTTCACCTTAAACCAAAGTCAATTCAAAGAATAGTAATGCAACAACTTACTGAACAGTGCACGATGCTTAAAAGCAAGATACGAATACCAAAAATCAATTTCCTCCTCCCGATGCACAAGATCGATTCATATACAGACATCGTTCCTCCAAAATCTACCTTCAGTCGCGTCGCTGTAACAACGTTACAACTTCTCGGAAAAGAAATTCGAATATATTTATCAGGAACGAGCCGCGTGGTCCGCGAAGGCAACGAAACGTGGATGCGCGCCGCGGGCAAATTTCGGCTCTCGTTGACGAAGTTTCCCTTTTCGATTCGTCGCGAGAATAGACCACTGCGGAAAAAAGGTATCGTTCCTGGTTGGCGAAACCGTCGGGACCAGCTGAATGAATGCAAACCCGTTCTAACAAGCTGGCTCCTCTTTGTGCCCGCGGACATTCATATTCATCGCGGCGCGATACAAAAGTTATTCGACTGGCGCGGAACTTTCGCGTACGTAGTTAGCGAAGAACAAGTGGCATTCGCATAAGAAAGAAGTAAGGAGAGAAGACGAGTGCGTCGCCGCCGCCGCTGGTAAGATAACCGGCACGCCGACAACTTTAATGTCGTCCGCCTCGAACATAAACGAGCCACGCTTCCCACCGCCCGAGACAATTAAAATCGCGACGCTCGACGCCTCTGCTTCGCCCCTGAAGTTTTCGCCGACCCGCAGGGGGAACGTGTGTTGGGTAATCGGCCGTGGACGGAATTAAGAAGTTCGCGGGCGACGCACAGTTGACTCGCGTTAATGTAGCGTTAAGAACGGCCCAATCCACAGGCATCACTCACCCACGTGCGTGCAGCTCACTTCGATCGCCTTCTATAGCCAAGATTTGGTGGATCGACCGAGCTGCCATGAGATTCAGGTATGCCATTGGTTCCTGTTAAAGTACTGTTTCCAGGAAAAGGCGGCGCTACTGCTCCGACAGCCCTGCTTTAACGCGAGTCTACTGTATTTAGCGCTGTACTTGAGTACTTGAGGAAAGAAATGGATGAGTAAAGAGTACAGTAGCCTCGAATTCTTACGCCTACGAATTGTTCTTGAGGAGGAGCCCATAGATTTTTATTCTACGTTGGAAAACAGATTTTTTCACACTTCATAGGCACACTGGGTCATTTATATCCAAGCTTAATTGTTCGACTTTTTTAAGTTTTCGAAAAAGCTCAGAAAAAACTGGGATACTTATCAAAGTCTCTACTACATTATACAATCGTTCCTTAAGCCAAATGTTTAAAAGTTTTGTTAATAATAATTCGGAAGAATATTCGGGAAATATGTGAAGTCGCTTGGATCGGCAACAGTTATGTATGAATAGATGATTCACCCATTTTGTAAAAAAAAAAAAGACGAACTGTAAACTGAATGCATTGGTGCAAATCAGTCGACGCTTGAAAAAGATGTCGAACGTTCGAACGAGTTCGAAAGCTCGATCGGGGGACAAACAATTTCAGAATGAACGGGCGGTCGAAGTAAAAGGCGAAAGAGGGAACGGGGGCTGGAATCGTTTCATTTGCCGGGCGAACGGGTAATTTCTTTCCAGTTCGGAGAAGCGGTAATTTGTTACAGCGTGATGAGCAACGCAACACTCCGGCACACGGCGATCCAATTCGATGTATAAATTGTAAACAGAATTGAAATTTTCATTCTTGGGGACATACGACACATGTCGAACTCCTGTGGAGGGATTGCGAAGCAGGACACATCACGAGTCGTGATTCACGACATATTTGTCTGCGAAGAAAATGATAGATACGTGCTCTCGTTCACACATTTCACCCACCACTGCAATATGCCCGCATGCTGCACGTTGTTGCTCGCTAGTGAGTTTGGCGGGCGCTGAGTTGCTCATCGCTGCATTACGCGACCCAATGACGCGGATCGTTTGATTGAATTATACAACGAAAAACAAAAAAAGACAATATCGTCGCGGCTATTTCCAGAGAGAAAAAAATACATATTATTTTACGATAAGCCTCGGTATACGGTACCGAGTTTCACGACGCCGTGAATAAAGCATTCCTTTCGAAATTCAAGATTTCGGAGGTAGGTGTGGGGGCACTAAACCTCGAGGGAAGACGAGATCCGACTGAATAGCAACGATTTTTCTTCGATACGTACATTTCCACCGATCTGTATGTGCGCGCGCGGTTCCCGCGCCTTCGATATTTCCGCATTTACGAATTCTGCTGTTTTTACGACTCTCGTCCGGCTCATCGAACCCCGTGAGGAACCTCCCTCCCCCTTCTTCCCGTGCCCGGTGCCACGACGGGAAATATTTCTGAATCGGAAATCGTCTATTTTTCGTCTCCGTTCGCCGTTTGATCGATCCGTTCCACCGTGTACACGGATCCCGTAAATTCTCTCTAAACCGGGGCTGCTTCCCTCGCTCCATCCCGGGCCTCTGTGTGTATAAACTATAAGCAATGCACCGGCGCAGCCCGTGGAATTAGCATTGTCTGATCCCGGGCGATAGCGTCGACCCATAATCTATGACCCGGCGACGCTAATGAACGAATAGTTTTTGCCGGATGTGACCCGGTTAAGATTTATGCCGTCATAAATCCGACGGGTCACAATGCTCCGCGGCTTGCATCCGATAAAAATCCACTCGGTGCCCGGTTCTGAACGTTAAACGGGGTTCGAACATTCATCTCACGCGCGAACCGAGAGCGTTCTCTGCCACCCCCAGTCGTCCTTCCCCAGCCCCCCACACCTGTACTTCCCCTGGCGGGGTAGAGGGTCGTGCACGCAGAGCGTGTGTTGTGCACGCGCTCGCGAAGCAGAAGCATGACCGAATATCGAGTGGCAGAGTATCGCCGGAACAACACAAAAATCCGGTCTCCTTCGAGTGGCCAGTATTGGACGAATATTAAATGGCCCCCTTTTGCGTGGGACAGACTGCGACCAGTGGTCGACGAGCATCAACCCAACGAAATTAACGGCCATCCGCGGAAAATTGCGTTAGAGGCAGCGCGTGGGATAAAAGCGCCTGGAAGCTTCCTGATTCTGGGATAGGCTTTCATCGTGGGATTCCTTCTGTTCCGTTGCTTTTACTGGAATCGATATTGTAAAGTGGATTGTACCGTGTGATTCCCGCGTTACCATCAGATAATTGAACATGAACGTATGAAGGTTAGTTAATCGTCTGTTGGATGACCCACCATCTGACTAAAGGCTTTAACTACTAAACGCGATTAAGCCACTGTGCCTCGAAAACAAATGAATCGGTAAATATGGTTCATAGCTAAGGGCTAAAATCATCAACTCCCTACCAAAGAGGATGTACCTACATTATAATACCAACACATGTATAGTCATCAATAGTACCTTCCAGTCGCTTTTCGGTATCACGTTCACGCCTCAGTTGGCGAAACAGTGACATATACAGGGTGAATCGCTCGCTGCTATGATCGAGAGGCAAACCGCCTGCTTTGTCGTTTAACTGCCGTGACCATAAACGTGTCAACGGTAGCTTACCCATGAATAGATGATTGCATATCTGCGTTCACTGTAGTCGCCAAATTAAGCACGTATACAACTTATTGTACCCGTTTGGAAATACAATTCCTTTTTGATATTTCAACAATGTATTTCTCTTCCACTCGTGGATTTCCCAACACATTATTCGAAAGAAATTACAGTTGGTGGTAAGGTTTTCGTGGAGCGAACCACCGACTGATTTTACGACGAGACACTTCGTAGCTGACCGAAAACCCATTTATGAAACCGCAGGCAGGGCCATGCATATACCCAACTTTTACGCAAATTATCGAATGATTAGAACTTGCAACAGTATCGATCATTTAAAAGATAGATATTGTATATGAACATCGTATTGTCAGATAATTTTGAAACACAAGGGAAATCCTGCTGAGAAGCACTCGAGAGAAGTAAAGAAGTATACACTCTCGGACAAGCGTGTTCCTAAGCCGGTGGTCCAGCACCGTGGCGTAAAGGCTTAACAAACATAAGTTTACCAAGAAAGAAAAGAAAAATTCAAAGCTGTTACCCGTGTTGTCTACACCCAAGGTATTCGTCTCGTTTATACGTCCGAACCCATCATCCGTTAATTTCTCTAACACCCAAAATCTCGTCCGCTCGCACCTATACATTATATTATTACCACCTACGCGACGGTCTATCATTATGCATACGCAAGACGTGCACACCAGCGTCAGCGGGCCGTATCCTTCTTCCGCGCGGTATAATCATATCATGGGATATTCGCCACGCAATGGCTCGCGTTACACCATAATTTTACGCCCACGCGAGATCCGCCCGGTTTCGCACATCATCGAATGACCGTCGAATCCGGGGGAAGAGATGGTTCGGCCGTGGTCCCGGCTATACGAAAGGGTACACCGTTGCATAAAGGAGGGGTGAAGGGGAGGAATGTAGGTAGTGGGGGTGAGAAGGGGGTAAAATACAACGCGGGGCTGGTAATTGATCGTCTGGGAGCCACGAAGGGGACGTGGATAAATGACTTTCGATACTAACCTGCTCGTTCAATATGTCCCAGGTTTTAAGCGGTTGCTCGACTTCTTGGTTCCGCGGGCTCGGCCTCGGCTGCGAGTCCCTTTGCACCAGATAGAGCGGCCTGGAGCCACGTACCGCTCCGTGTGCGGGCAGAACCCCGGCTGCGGACACTGGTTCCTCCACGTGATATTGCCAAACCACTTGCATCGTGTCGTTCTGGGAACACAAAGAGAAAATGAGAGTGGAGTCAAGTCTATGTCGGGGCGAAGCGGGCGGCGGCGGTGGCGGCTACGGGGCCACGGTCGTTCATTTTTGTTATCGAAAAGTATCGATAAGGACGGCTTACAGAGGCACAAAGCCCCGCCTTTTATATCCAGCTGGCTATAAAGGTCGAAGCCTTCGGGTAGAAGAGGCAACGACGCGGAGAGGGAAAAAGAAGAGAAAGGTTTTCAAGCGCATACTCTTTCTCTCTCTCTCTCTCTTTCTTCGTGCTTTCACGTTCAAATTCCGCAGGAATATTCTCTAGACTCCGCTCGAAGGACCGGAGCACTCGACCGAGAATTTTTAATTTAACCCTTTTTATTTCGAAATATCCGCCCCCAGCGATAGCAGCGGCGGCGGATCCGCATATTGCAGTGTTTCGAGAGACTCACTCGCCCCCCCCCGAAAGGCGGGGAGAAAAGCGTTCCCGTGTACATCGCGTTAACCCGTGTCCCCGTTATCGAGGCATCCCCGTTTTCCAGGGGGGTTAAGCCTGTCGCCTCCAACCCCATCCGTCGAGGTTTCACCTTTATTTCCACGGACCAGGGCGGCCGACTAAAATGGAACCGGCGTAAGTTGATTAGCAGGGCACACCGATTCGTAATAGAGTGGCGAATAACACGGAATCGAATAAATCGTATTCGAAGGGCCGCGCCTCCCCGTTATATGTATACATACGTATATATATTGTATATATATATATATTTCCAACGGCGGCTGAGTCGTTCGCGTGAAATTAATCGCGATTGGATTATATCGACCGGCGTGAAATTAGATAGGCCGCCGAATCTATCTCTTTTCCCTCGCAATCCTTGAAATCAACACCCCCGGGGTGCTCGACGATGAACAACGGGGGATGCCCCGTTATCGGGCTGAAATTAATTAATCCGCGATTCGATTGCTCTCGGTGCTCAAGCTCAACACGCGAAAGAATTGATTGGCAGAGAAGACGGATCGCCGGAGCGCGTTCGAGCCACCCATCCCGGTCGATTGAGCGCGCGAACGCGCTCGTTCGTCGATAAAAATGTCTCTTTCTCGGTAATCCGAGTGTATTGACGGGACAACGCCGGGTGGATCGGTTCGATCACGAATTAAGGACAGTGAACTGTACCTCGGTTACGATTCACCTCTCCAGAAGCAAGGGCCGACGTCATTCCTCATCCCCCTCGCGATACCGCGTATTTACCCATGATACCTGGCGCGGTTCCAGCCGCGAAATACTGTACGCTTACTTTCCTACGGCGGCCGACGAATTAGTAGCTGGGCACCGTATACCACGAGCCAACGCTTTTTCGTTGAAATCGCGCATGAAACCTGCGCTCGCGTGAAACTTCCAGTTTACAGGTTAACGTCGGGTTTCCGATCTTGGAGTATCATCAGACGGCATATTAATAAACCCCGTGGACATGTTTGTTGTTCTCGAGCATGGAAGGTTCTACACGCTGCTCGAGGATAAAGCAAATAGATAGACAACGAAAGCGCAATGAGAATAGTTTACGGGGGAAGTAGACTTTTGCCAGTTCAGGAAACATAGGGTTCAAATAGAAAAAAACAATCAGATTTGTTAAGATTTAAAGACTAAGTATATTCCGTACGTTATGAAACAAGCTGTAACTAGGGGGGGGTCGATAGATTTATTTATTTCTCGATCAAGGATTGAATTTTTGTAGGCAAACGAGCTTACAGCTTAAATCCCTCTAGGATCACTATCAGACGCCTACGCTTTACAACCAACACCTTGCCACCACGGGATTGCCGAATCCGGCCTGTGCTTTGTTCCCGTTTAATAAATATACCAACGAAACGTGTCTGGTTTGTTCACGTGACGCGACCAGAATTTTCCCACGTGAAGCGTGCGCGGGGGCCGCGCCACCGGAGCAATCAATCCGGAGCATTTTCATCTCCGAAAGTTTTACGTGCAGGCATGCCTCAGGGATCAATTCCGCATTGTGTATACCGATAATCTGTTTCTGTCGTGCACCCGCACAGGCTGCGCGTCCACCCACCCTCGAAAGGAAGGGACATGCTAGACGAGAACGGCGGAGCCCTCTCCTGCCCTACAACAATACCGGGCGATGGTATTCCTATCCGATGGTCGTGGTCGACCTCGAAACATGCGCATCGATCCGCGTTTATGCGTCCGAACACAGTAGGGTGTCTCCTCGACCACTCACAATTTCGAACAATCACAGTTGATTGGGAGCATTGGCCAGATGCAGCCTCGTTAATGTTTCATTTGACCCTGGGAGGGCCCTTATCAAGGTAGCCCAAAACTAATTACAATGATGGGATTTGTTGTCGCATGGATCCTTTGTGGATCTATCTTTCATGACGCGGTAGCTTTTATTCGTTCCCAAGAATTTGATTATCCTTTCATCCTATCAACCGAATGGTAACCTGACATATACGCTACCCAACAAAACACTGTTATATTAAATTTACACGAAGATAAACCAAGTTCTCTGAAAACATACAAATGTCTCCGAACCCTGATATCGCGCCCTCCGTCCATCATCTGACTTGTTCATCTTCGAACATTCACGTTGAACAATCGGAATCTGCGTATCCGACCAGATCTGGCCCCGAAATATAACCGACGATTAAAGCAACCGGCGCAGTTCTTAAAATTTCATTACACCGCGCGCCCGGAAGAGTGCATTCGGTATTCCAGAGGCGGCGAGTCCGCCAAATGATCCCCCGTTATCGTTTTATACCGGGCAGATAAGGGAACAACCGTGACTTCCAACCGGTAACGGGCGAACGTGCGGAGTCAGTGAAAAATCGCCGCCGATCTCCACCCCACGGTAACCGCCCTCGGGGCAATCCCGTGATTCAGTGACGGACAACGGAATTACGCAGTCGTCCAATCGCGAGACCATGCAGGTATTCGCAGGCCACTCACGTGTCAGACATTCACGTTCTTCGATAACAATCGTCGTTGCCAGGGTGGCGATCTTCAGCCCCGGGAATCATTGGACTTCACCCGGTTTCTGCGCCTACGTTCATTCCGACCGAGACAATTGGGCGCCGTTTACCTGAATTGGATAGGTTGAGGATAGGTACATACATAGCAGAAGAGAGAGAAAGAGAATGGTGGCGGGGGACCGACCCAGATCCCACAAGATCGAAAGATTCCGTCGGAGAAGGCGAAGGCGATGGAAGGTCGATAGGAGGAAATGGGCATCGCGTGTGAAGCCCCGACAGAATCACGCGATCCGACGCTATCGTCCCTTCTGCCACGTAGAAAGAAAGAGAGAGAGGGGGCCTGTTTGACGACGTCATACAGAGCCACGCTTCTGTCTGAACCTCTTTCAACAGCCGTGAGCCGATCATTAAGAAAATTAAACGCGTCACGTACGATCGATACGAAATACAGTCTTTGAGCCCGACCGGAATTCTCGGGATCGAGACCTATCCTCCAGACGGCGCAAAAGAGAATCGTGACCAGTTTCAGGTACCCGGTACTTGTGGGCGACGCAGGATTGATATTTCGAGTAACGATACCCTTCAAGACGGATATCAATATTTTGCATCGATGTTTAATGTGATAATGTGTTCCAGTATAGATACTTAACCCATAAATATCGAAATTACGATACAATCGCTGCATTTGTCGTAACGCGACATGTCGTAAGAAAAATGGACAAATCGCGAGTTTTCCATAAAGTCTGCCATTGGTCGATTTCTTTTTCAGTTATTACCTGATAATCTACCTTAGTAAATATATAATTAAGTAATGATTTACTTTGACTTTGGGATTTTATTACTTCTAATTTAATTGTAAGTATCGATACCGATAGTATTGATATTTTATTCCCGACGTACATGTGTATCGATACTCTGGATATCAATACGTATCGGTGAAAAAAAGGTTTGGAAAGCACCGGACGTGTTTTCTTTGAATTACTCGAGGTCCTGGGGGAGTTGATATAACGTGTACATACAGTAGCGTAGTCGAAGAAAGTTCAGGGGATACCGTGAGAACAATTGGTTCGTTCGTCGCCGGTGTCTTAGGGGTACGGTGTATTAAGACGGTGCGTGGGAGTCAATCGAAAGGTAATGGCGCTATCAATATAAAGGAGGTCGGGAAGGGCAGGTTTTGAGGATGGCGAGGGGAACGATTAGGGGAGAAATGGGGAGCAATTCCCATCGACAGAAAGCAAAGGAGGAACGACTAGGAGGGCGTTCGTTTAAGTGGAAATATCTTTCCTTTGGCCGAAGCGTTATTCTTCATTAAGAAACCTTTATTGTTCTTCGTCCTTGAAACGTGGAAATCTGTCCTCCCTCTCGTTCCCTATACCCGTACTCTAGCCACGATTCTTACCCCGACTGATACGTCTGTCTTACAAGAACTCGCATCACCCGATTATCCTTCCCAATAGTCATATTGAATCCCAGAGAGAAGATCCAATTTAGAAAGTTCAAGATGTCACTCACGATGCCAGTAAAATGGCTCCGGACCCTTCGAGTGTCGTACAATGAAATATTTAAACCTCGCTGATCCCCTATCCTCGTCGAATCGAACGTCGAAATTGAGCGAGTCTTGAACTCCACACACACACACACACACACACACACACACACACACACACACCTACATACACCTCCGTTCGCTATAATTGTAGTTTTAACGGGTACAACGGAAAAAGTTTCTGCTGAATTACTTAACGCTATTACAGATAATTGAGGCAGAAATTTCCAATATCTCCGGCGACAATGAGCGCGCGCCCGACGATCACAAAGAGGACGGGAGAAAGGAAGGTTAGTCAGAAGTTCAAATATAACGAACCATAATGGATCGCGAGAAGAAGCCTTTTGTCGAAGCGGCTCTCTTCCGTCGGGCGTAAGTTCGTTTGTTTCCCTTTCTTTGTCCCAACGCCTCCATTCTCTAGCGCCCGTACTAGTGCGCGCGCACGCTACTGAAGCCGTGGGCCAGCGATTAACCTTTCCGCGTC